TTCTACCTAACTTATCTTCCAGCAAGTTTAGTGTTTCTGTTTTAATATTTAGATCTTTAATCCGTTTTGATCTTAGTTTAGTGCATGGTGATAGATATGGGTCTAGTTTTAATCTTTAAGCCACACTGATTTGAGGCTGACAGCTAACCATATTAACAGATAGGTGTTTAAACTTTGATTTCTCTGTGTGTCTAAATGCATATGCTTAAAAAAAATTTTTTTGTGTGGCTTTGGGGATCAAACCCAAGGACTTGTATGTGCTACCCATTTGCTATCCTACTGAGCTTCACCTCCAGCTCAATACATATGCCTTTTTTTTTTTTATACAACTAGGAATTAAACCTAGCGTCTTCACACTGAGCTGCATCCCCAATCTTTCTCTCTCTTTTTTTTTTATTACTGGGGATCGAACTTGGAACCTTATGCTTTCGAGTCAGGCGGCGGCACCACTGCTAAATCCCTGGCCTTTGCTTTTTATTTTGAGTCAGGGCCTCACTAGTCCCTAAATGGCCAATGTTGGGCTCGAATTTGCAGTTTTCCTGTCTCAGGCTCCCAAGGTTGCAGTTATAAACATGTACCATCACACCCAGCTACATATGCTTCTATGGAAACATGGGATCGTACTACAAATATAATGTATTTCTCATTATTACACATTTCCAGTCAGTTTAAATATCTTGCCCAGAGTATTTTGTTGAATTGATTTAATTCATCTATTTTTTTTTTTTTTTTTTGGTACCGGGGATTGAACTCAGGTCCTTGGGCTTGCGAGGCAGGTGACGAAACCACTGAACTAAATCCCTGGCCCTAATTCATTCATTTTTATATAAACTTTATGTTTAATACTTGATATGACAAATCACCTATCATTAATTTTTACAAATTTTATTTCTTTATTTTTGGCTTTCTAAGACAGGGTCTTGCTATTTAGTTTAGGCTGGCCTTGGCTCAATATGTATCCCAGGCAGGCCTTGAACTCATGGTAGTCCTCTTGCCTCAGCCTCCAGAGTACTAGGATTATAGGCATCCACCACCACACCTATTATTAATTTTTATACTATTGTTGTGAACTTAGTTTACTAACTAAACTATTAGTTACTTTACCCCCATAAAACCCATAGAGATTTTGATTTTACATTACTTTGTAGATTACATTGGTAAGAATGAGCATCTTTAGTATATTCAGCCTTCTCTATTAGGAGTGTAACATTCATCTCTTTTTTCTTTTTATTTGATAACTGGGGATTGAACCCGGGGCCTCTCACTGAGCTACATCCCTAGCCCTTTTTATTTTTTATTTTGAGACAGAGTCTTGCTAAGTTGCCCAGGCTGACCTTGAATTTGCAATCCTCATGCTTTAGCCTCCCTAGTAGCTGGGATTACAAATATGCACCATCACCCCCACTGTAATTTGTTCTTTTTAAAATCCAGGTTGACTTGGTAGGATATCTTAATGTTTCTTGTCAGTGGTTAAGAGAGACTCCACTAAGAGTATGCTACCTTTGTTCTTTATATTATTTTTTATGCTAAAAATTGTTTTCCATATTTTATGTTTCTTGAGTGGTTATTACCAGTTTTAATGTGCTCTTCTTTATTTTTTTGGAACTGGGTGTAGAACCCAGACCCTCGTGCATGCCAGCTAAGTGCTTTTTTGTTTTTCATTTTTTCCTTCTATTTTCACTTTTTTCTTGTCTCTTCCTTCCTTTCCCCCTCCCTCCTCCCTTGTTCCCCTTCCCATTTGAACACTTTCTTCCCATTTCCCAACATCCGTTATACATTTCAGTCCTCATTTCCACTTTCAGTTTCTCACACCAGAGAAACAATGTGGTATTTAAACATGTATGTCCGATTTATTTCACTTGAGAGTATGGTCTCAAGGCCCATCCATTTAGCTATGAATGTCTGAAGCTCATTCTTCTTTATGGCAGAGTAGTACTCCATTATATAAAAAAACCCACATCTTCTTTATCCACTTGTGATGTATAGCCAAATGCTCTTCCACTGAGCTGTGTCCTTGGCCTGTATACTTTTTTTTATACCTTACCTATGTTAGGTTTTATGGTGGTTGGTTAGTTTTTTTTTTTTTGGTGGTTAGTTTTTTAGGAGGATTGGATTTTATGTGAAGAATTTTTAATATAGTGTTTTAAAATTACCTTTTTGACATTTTGAAAGCATTAAGATTTCTGCAAATAATTATTGTTACATTATAACAATTTTGTAAATGTCTAGGAATATATGCTTATATCAAGGAATAAATAATATCTTAGTTTTTTTTTTTCTCTTTAGATTCTGGAACTGAAGACATGCTTTGGACAGAAAAGTACCAACCTCAGAATGCCAGTGAACTCATAGGCAATGAGTTAGCTATAAAAAAGTTACATAGGTTGGTGACATTGGTAAAGGAATTGAGAAATAGTTTATGAATTTAGTTTTACTATTTTTTTTTTTTGGTAGCGGGGCTTGAACTTGGGACCTTGCACTTGCCAGGCAGGCGGTGGAATCACTGAGCTAAATCACCGAGCTAAATCCCCGGTCCACTATTTCTTTTATTTAGACTAAAATTTAAAAATTAAAATTGTAAGGTAATGTAATACATGGGAAAATTATTTTAAAAACAAGAATTTTAAGTGAGAAGTTTCTTTTCTCATATTTCTCTTCCCAGAGGTTATAGTAATTGGAACTTTCTTGTTAAACCTTCTAGAAAAAAATTATGTATATCCAGTAGTTTTTTCTTTTCTAACCAGTGGGATCATATTACTTTTAATTCGGGTCCACAGAAAGTTCTGAAAACTGAAAAATTTATTGACTTCATTATATGAAGTTTGTTATAGTCTTTGTCATTCACATTCAGTAGACGTTCAACTTGCCTTTGTAATACCTGAAAAATTGTGGATTTTGAAACTACAGTACTTGGTCAAAGGATTTCATAAGGAATTGTGGACCCATTGTAACAGTTAATATTGTGAATTTGGAACTGTTGCAAGTACTTAAACACTGTTGTACCACCAGTGGTGGGACACGCCTATAATCCTAGCACTTGGAAAGCTGAAGCAGGATCCTGGGAGTTTGAGGCCAGCCTGAACTACCTAGTGACTTTAAGGCTAGCCTGAACTACACAGTGAACCTGTCTCAAAAAAACCAATAAATAGGGCCAGGGATTTAGCTCAGTGGTTCCACCACCTGCCTCACAAGCACAAGGTCCCGAGTTCAATCCCCAGTACCAAAAACAAACAAACAAACAACCCCCCCCCAAAATAAACACAGTTCTTAGTTGATTTTCTTAGTTGATTTAATCCTTAGAACAAAACTGTGAGAGTAGGCCGGGGATTTAGCTCAGTGGCACTGCCCCTGCCTTGAAAGTGCAAGGTCATGAGTTAGATCCCCAGTGCCAAAGAAAACAAACAAACGAAAATTGTGAGAGTAAATACTGTTGTTTTGATCTCTATGAAGAAACAGTCCTAGAAAGGTTATTTTCCAAGGTCACATAGGTAACTCGTGGAAGAGCTGGGATTTACATTCAGATAGTCCCACTCTAGACTAGAAGTTAAACTTTCCACTTGTATTTAGCAGTATATGTTAGGGTTTTTTTGGGGTTTTTTTTTGGTACCAGGGATTAAACTTGGGTCCTTACGCGCAGCAGGTGGTGAAACCACTGAGCTAAATCCCTGGCCCTGTTAGGTATTTTTTATGTCATCACACAATGTACCTCATTCTTTTTCATTGCTGTCTACTGGGGTTTTTTGCTGTGAGTGTGAACTTTTTTTTTTTTTGAACCAGGGATCGAACTCGGGATATTGCACTTGTGAGGCAGGCAGCGTACTGGTTTTTTTTATGTGAATTTACCATAATGTATCCTTTCCCTTACTAGGAAGAACTTTTATGTTTTTCCTTACAAAGCCTAATTTAAACAATATTGCAGTAAATGTTCTTCCACGTATACTCTTGTATATTTAGGCAAAAGTTACTTCATTTTTAAAATATTCATGTCCATGTAAAAATATTTTAGTATTAGTTGATTCAGAGGCACTATGGAGTACGTAAAAACCAGCAATATACCATAACGCCCCCTGCAGTCATTTTAACATAAGGTTTAATGGATATCTATATTCTGTGAATTATTGTCACTAATGTGCATTTTTTTATGACAGCTGGTTGAAAGACTGGAAAAGAAGAGCTGAATTAGAAGAAAGACAGAACTTGAAGGGAAAAAGAGATGAGAAACAGGAAGGTATTTTCAGTCATTTCCATTTCACCAAACACTTGCTTGTAGAGTTACATTAGCTAATTTTTTTTTTTTTTTTTTGAGAAAGGGTCTTGATATTTAGTTCAAGCTGGCCTTGAATTTGCTGTGTAGCCCAGTCTGGCCTTGAACTCACAGTGATCCTCCTGCCTCAGCCTTCTTAGTTGCTGGGGTTATAGGCGTGGGCCACCACACTCAGCTTGTTTCGTTTATTTATTTTTCTGTACGGAGATCAAACTCAGGACCTTGCTGTGCTTGCAAGGCAGGCATGGTGCCACTGCGCTAAATCCCCAGCCCTTTTCATTTATTTTTGAAACAGTCTTGTTATATAGCCCAGGCTGGCCTTACACACAAGATCTCTTGCCTCACCCTTCCAAGGGCTGGATTTTGTGGGCATGCGCCACTACGCCTGGCTTAGATTAGCTAAAAATTTTTATGAAATTTCAGAGCTAGTATTTTATATTTAGCTTCTTTTATAAATTCATTTTTCAGCATTTATTGGCAAGAAATTTGAGGGACTTAGTTAAGTAGGTTTCGTGAGGTAGAATTGTTGCCTAAGCTTTGATCACTTCATATGCATTTGAATACTTTTTCAGATTTTTCAGATAGCATAGACTTTCAAGGCAGCTCAGATGAAGAAGAGAGCCGTCTCTGCAACACTGTTCTTATAACAGGGCCAACAGGAGTGGGTAAAACTGCCACAGTGTATGCTTGTGCTCAGGAGCTTGGATTCAAGGTTAGTAACAGGTACAGTGGGAGATGTGAGTGTCATTATTAATGTTATCAGAAAACATAAATCGTTCTGCCTTTTTCTTACATCTTCTTGTAGATATTTGAGGTGAATGCCTCTTCCCAGCGCAGTGGTAGACAAATTCTATCTCAACTGAAAGAAGCTACTCAGTCCCATCAAGTAGACAAACAAGGTGTAAATGCACAAAAGCCCTGTTTTTTTAATAGCTACAGCATAAGCAAGTCACCAAGTAAGTAAGAAAATATGAGAAAATAGTTTTAATTGTCAACATTTTGGCATTAATTTTTTTGTTTCCTGTGCACAGACATGATCGCTTGCTCTTCTTTTTCTCTTTTTTTCCTTCCTTTGCTTGCTTGCTTGCTTGCTTGCTTTTTCTTTCTTTAATACTGTCAGTTCTGTGCTTTGAACTCAAGGCCTTCCACTGAGCTATCGCCTCAGCATTTTTTGACACAGGTTCTCACTAAGTTGACCAACCTGGCCTCAAAATTGAGATTTTCCTGTCCCAGCCTACCAAGTAGTTTTCCTGGACTATTAAAGACAAAATAACCTGAAGACCATTTTACCCCATGTATACTTCAATATATATTTGTAACCAATAAGGGCTTTGCAAAAAGCATAATTACTAAGAATCAAGATATTTCATGTACAGGTACAAATTCCCTATGATGAAGGTCATCATTATGTATATCTAAAATGTACCAATAAAATTAATTTTTTAAAAAAAGGCATAATTACAGGGCCGGGGATTTAGCTCAGTGGTTCCAGCACCTGCCGCGCAAGCACAAGGTCCCGAGTTCGATCTCTGGTACCAAAAACAAAAGCATAATAATAGTAGCATAATCAGACCTAACAAAATTAAATATACTCCTGTCATCTAATACACAGTCTGATTTCAGTTTTCTGTTGTTTCACCTGGTTTATTCAAATCAGGATCTAAACAAGATCATATCTTACCTTTGATTAATGTCTCTTAAACTTTTCATCTCTCCAACAAGTGTAGTCATGTCATTTATTTGTTGAAGAACCTCAGTCATTTGTAATATAACTTCTCGCATTTTGAATTATTGGATGATTGTATCCTTAAGGCAACAGTTAACATATTCCTCTTCCCCGTATTTCTTATAAACTGGTACTTAGATCTGTGGGATTGAGTAGATTCAGGTTCTCTTTTTGTGGCTGGTTTATATGAATCAGCTCAAACTTCTTGTGACATCAGGGTAGGAGACACTTCCCACTTTTAGTGATAATAAGATTGATCAGTGACACTGGCCTTGACCTTCCTATCTTTTTTGTCTCAGCCTCCCAAGTAGCAGGGATTACAGGTATGTGCCACCATGCTTGGCTCATGTATTTAATGTTATTGTAAATGGTACTATTTTATTTTCCAGTTTTTTATTTCTAGTATATAGATTAAAAAGTTGATTACAGCAGGCAGCTGTTATCCTAGCACTTTGGGAGGCTGAGGTAGGAGGATTAAAAGTTCAAGCCCAGTTTGGGCAATTTAGTGAAACCCTAGAAAATTGTGAACATTTTTTAAAAGGTATGGGGATGTAGCTCTGTGTTAAAGCCCTGGGTTCAATTCCCAGAACCACCAAAAAAAAAAAAAGATTAATGAGTTCAAATATTTTCATTCTGACTCATTTATTATAAAATCCTGTATCCCTTGGGCTGGGGATTTAGCTCAGTGGTTTCGCCATCTGCTGTGCAAGCGCAAAGACCCAAGTTCAATCCCCAGTACAAAAAAAAAAAAAAATCCTGTATCCCACTATTCTCTTATTTAATGGTAGTTTGCAGCCATTAAAGATCTTTGTCTAGCAGACTCATTGTGGGAGACTTAAAATAAAGATTTTTTTTTAAATGATTTTGTACATCTCTCAGCTTTTTTGCATTTATTAATTAGAATTCTGAGAAGTACCGTTCTTCATCCACTATTTGGATACTTTGAAATACAGTTTATAGGCATGAGAAATATTTCATTCATTCCTTTACTTTCTAGTTCTTAGAGTCACGGTGTTGTAGTAACCTCCCAAACTGACCAATGAGTTTTAGTTTTTGTGTGTGAGGTGCTAGAGATTGAACCCAGGGCTAAATGCACACTAGGCAAGCACTCTGCCACTGAGGTATATCCTAGCTCTTTTTCAATTTTATTTTAAATGAGGTCTCACTAAAGTGTGTAGGCTAGCCTCAAACTTGTTATCTTCCTCACTTAGCCTTCTGAGTAGCTGGGATTATAGATGTGCACAAGTACATTCAGTAATCAATGAGGTTTTTTGGGTATATTTTACAAAGATTATTATGAACTCATGAATTTGAATATATTTAACACATTTCAATTATTTGTGCTCATTTTTCTTTCTTTTTTTTTTTTGTGGTACTGGGGATCGAACTCAGGATCTTGCGAGGCAGGTGCGGTGCCACTGAGCCAAATCCCTGGCCCTGTGCTCATTTTTATTGCTACTTAAAAATTTTCTTTTTTTAAAATTTTTTTATCACTGATTTTAAGCAATTTGATTATGATGTGGCTAGGTGTAGTTTCCTTCATGTTTCTTCTACTTTTTTGTGGTTCTTGTGTACATGCATTTATAGTTTTCATATTTCTTGTCTATCTTTTGAGACAGGGTCTCGCTGTGTAGTTCAAGCTATCCTTGAACTCATTGTATAGCCCATGTTGGCCTTGAACTTGTGGCGATCCTCTTGTCTCAGCCTCCTGAGTTCTGGGATTACAGGCATGTACCACCACTCCTGGCGGTTTTTATATTTCTTGAAATACTTTTTCTGTCTTGCCATCTCCTTTGGTTTTTTTGAGACAAGGTCAGTGTTTTGGGCTTGTGTTGTGTTTATTTTGTTTGTTTGTTGTTTTTTATTTTGTTACTAGGGATGTTGTGTTTCAGTTTGAATAATTACTGTTTGTGTTTTTTTGTACCAGGGATCGAACTCTGGAACTCTGGTCCCTTGTGCTTTCAAGGCAGGCAGCAGAACCACTGAGCTAAATCCCTGCCTCCTTGAATAATTACTACTAAAATATTTTGTTTGTTTGGCCGGGAGTGGTGGCACACGCCTGTAATCCCAGCACTTGGGAGGCTGAGGAAGGAGGATCACCATGAGTTCGAGGCCAGCCTGGGCTATATAGTGAGTTCAGGGTCAGCCCGAACTACAAAGGGAGGGAGACCCTGCCTCAAAAAACCAATATATATATACATATATATATATTCTTTGTACTTACCATGTCCTCAGTTTTTCCTTATATTTTTGGACCTGTGGACTATTTTATAACAACATACATACATACATACATTTATTTATTTATTTATTTATTTATTTATTTGAAGACAAGGTCTCACTATACTTCAGGCTGGCCTTGAACTCATTATGTAGCCTGGGCTGGCCTCAAACTCATAGCAATCCTCCTGCTTCATCTCCTCTGAGTACTGGGATTACAAGCATGCACCACCATGCCTATTTGTGACATTTCTGAGATGGCTTTTAATTCATTAGTTTCTCTCTGTGGATTATATTTTTCTACTTTGGATGCCTAATAATTTTGATTGCATGTCAGACTTTGTATAATTTGCCTCATTGGTTGCTGGCTATTTCTGAGTCCTGTAACTATCCTTGAACTTCCAGGATATTGTTAAATTACTTGGAAACAATTTAAGATCTTTCAAGCTGTATTGGGCAAGACAATAGCATTTAGACTAGGGCTAATTTTAAACTACTCAGGCAAAACCTTTCTAATCCCCTGGGCTGCCTGTGGGTTGTTAATTATAATACTTTGTACTCTGGTGGGAAGGGAAACTATCCCTAGCTCTCTGTGAGCCTCAGAAATTGTATCCTGTTGTCCTTCACTGATGAAGGCTCAAAACTTGAGAAGATTCTGCAGATTTCTAGAGTTCTTGTTGCACAGCTGTCTCATCTTACATATTTTGTCCTGTGATTTCTGTCTGTCTTGGTTTCCCCAGATACCTAGTACAATCTCCTTGACTCAGGAAAACCTGAACCAGGATTTTCCTCACTGCAATGGCTTGGAAATTCGCTCAAAGCCATAAACCAGTAGGAAAGCCTAGTGTTTACCTTGTTTATTTCTTGGATATCAGGGATCACTGTCCTTTGTTGGATGATGACCAAAGTCTTGAAGATGTTGTTTTGAACATTATATTCAATTGTTTTCCTTTTTAATGTTGTTTCAGATGGTGGTAAATAGAGTCAGCTACTGAATGCTGGAAGAATTCCATCTCTTTTCTTCTAGTGCAAACATATTCCCATCTTTGGCTAGTGGGGAACTATTTTTTGACCTTGTTCCAGCAATCTGATATTTAGAATTATCTCCTTCCCTAAAGGGATGATTCTTTTTGCAGAAAGTTTCTAAAAAATAACATATTAATAAAATTTAGATAATTTTAAAATTTAAAATTTGATTATCTGGGCCAGGGATTTAACTCAGTGGTTCCATGGCCTGCCTCGCAAGTGCAAGGACCTGAGTTCGATCCCCGGTACCAAAAAAAAAAAAAAAAATTGATCATCTGAAAATAAAAGTTGACACGTATTTTAAAACAACAAACCAATCTTTGGACTGATACCAGTATATGATCAAGCAATCCTTGGTCTATGTCAAAATAAGAACAAAGTAATGTTTCTTATAAATAGATATCTATGTGATATAAAGAAAAAATTTTCACTCTAAGATTTTGTATCTTATGGTTTTTTGGGGTATTTTTTGGTACCAGGGATTGAACCCAGGTCCTCAGCTTGCGAGGCAGGCGGTGGAACCACTGAGCTAAATCCCCAGCCCTGTATCTTATGGTTTTAAAATTTGTTTTTTAATAAAGTGATGTTAATGTCTGTAACGTTCAAAAATTTTTTTTTTTGGTACCAGGGATCGAACTTGGGTGCTTGTGCTTGCAGGGCAGGCAGTGGCACCACTGAGCTAAATCCCCAGCCCCATTTTCAAAATTTTTAATAAGTTTATTTGATTCAGTAAGTAATATGCAAGGGATATGATAAAAATCTATGGTGATTGAGGAGACAAAGAATGAGACATAGTCAGGAATTATGTATAAGATGGTGAGTGAGGAAGATCTTGCTGGGGAACATTTGATAATTAGGACATATCAGGACTAAATGAAGGTACTTAAAAGCGAAGGAAGGACTTGTGCTGTAGAGTAAATGCCTTGAGTCTTCTGGAGAGTAGAGGCCAACCATATATTTCACTTTGTATCCACCCTCCAAAGCATCTTTAGAAATACATATCATTTTGTTTGGCATGACAGTTTACTATAGGGCTGAACTAAAGTTGGACAATAAAGTTCTATAATGTGCTCAATATATACTGTTAGGATTTTTCCTCCAGCCTCTTCTGACCTCAGGTAGGTGTAGAGATCAGTGGGAGGATTGTGAACATTATTTGTTCAAAATGTCTGTTTCTTTGGAAAAGAGGATCATTTCAAAAGGCTAACCTGACCTTCTATACAGTTAGAATAAATACTATCAGTAATATTTGAGTGTACAGAGTATTTTAATATAAGAATGAAAGAAAATTTCTGTACCTTTAATTTTTACCTGGTAGGAGTAGAAATATAGAATGTAGATAACACTATCTTGCCATCTGTATAATTTTTAGAATGTTTATTTTTAAATCCTTAAATGCAATTTTTTTTTGTAGAAAAATTAAACTCCCCTAAGAAAGTTGTTACATCACCACGGAAACTTCCTCCATCATCACCCAAATGTGGCGGGCAGAAGAGAGCACTTCCCCCTAAAACTTTGGCAAATTACTTTAAAGTATCTTCCAAACCCCAAAATAATGAAGAAGTAGAAGCGCTTCTCAAAAATGATAAAGGTAAAACACTAAAATGCCAAAATAAAATTGATCTTTTAAAATATTCATGACCCATATACATAAAAATACAAACATTTTCATGAGTTCCCCTTTTATAGACAACATCTCACTGTGTAGTTGTTCAGGGTGGCCTTGAACTCACTGTGTAGCCCATGGTGGCCTCAAACTTTCTGTGATCCTCTTGCTTCAGCCTCCCAAGTGCTGGGATTACAGGTGTGTGCCACCATGCCCAGCCAAGTTCTTACTGCTATTTATTTATTTTTTTTGGTACTGGGGATTGAACTTGGGTCCTTGCGCTTGTGCAGCAGGTGGCGAAACCACTGAACTAAATCCCCAGCCCTATTTATTTATTTTTTGCTGATTTTATTTTGGGTGGGGGATACCAGGGATCGAACTCAGGACCTTGCACTTGCGAGGCAGGCAGCAGCACCACTGAGGGGCTTGAACCCAGGACCTTGCATTTGTGAGGCAGGTGGAACCCCCCCACACCCCTATTGCTTTTCATTAAACTTGATTTCCATTGAAGTCTTATGTACAGGAGTTGTAATGTTCTGTTTCAGTTTTGATAAGGGATTTCAGTTTGAACTTATTCTGTGAAAATATCCAATGTTCTGTTAAAAGTTGACTTTTACCTAAAGTTTTAATATTCTGTTTACCCAGGAATCAAAAATTCTTTGGAACAGAAGCACATTGCTCAGACTAAATCTTCAAATGCAGTAAATTCAAGTGTCGAAGAATCTGGACCTGAAGAGCCCAACAGGAAAAGTGCAACATCTCTCATTCTTTTTGAGGAGGTAGGCTTAGAGTACACATTCATGGTGTCTCCTGGTTTACTATGTATTTTTTAATAAAGAATTATAAAATAACTAAGAAAGCCAGAAACACATATATCTTTTTGAAATTAAAGCAAATAAAACTTAACTTTAGAAGAATTTTTTAGGAAGATGATTAATGCAATTCAGGTTACTAAATATGGTTTGATGGTTATAGAAATAAAAGTCACACCTATCTAGTTATAGGTGGCTGCAATTTTTTTTTAATGTTTAATATTTGACAATTTAAAACATTCTTTTATGGTATAAGACAGGCTTTCAGTATGGGCTATATTCACATTTTTCAAAAATTAATAAATTTTGTCTGACATACAGTATGTCTACATATAGTTAAGTATACATAACTGACATCCAGTAAGTTTGTTACTCATTACATTAATACTGTCATAAATGGTTTGTAGGTTGATGTCATTTTTGATGAAGATGCTGGATTTTTGAATGCAATCAAAACATTTATGGCAACAACTAAACGACCTGTCATCCTTACTACAAGTGGTAGGTATCGATAATTTTAGTATAATTAACTAGTTTTGGTTAAAATGTTTTGGGAAAGCTTTTAATTTTTAGTTATAACAGTTTCTTTAAGAGTCACTTAACAGGAGCCGGGTGTGGTGGCACATATCTGTAATCCCAGCACTGGGGAGGCTGAGGTAGGAGGATTGCTACGAATTTTACACCAGCCTGAGCTACATAGTGAGAAAGAAAAAAAACCATGCTACATAGTGACTCTCAAAGAAAAAAAAAAAAGAATGACTCTAACACCTTAAAAAATTCCTTCCTTAGTTAAGACCCCAGGTAGATGCCTGAAACCTCAAATAGCACTGAACCCTAAATGTACTATTTTTCCTATGCATACACACTTACATAAAGTTAAATTTAGAAATTAAGCAGTATAGGGCTGGGGATTTAGCTCAGTCGTTCCACTGCCTGCCTCGCAAGTACAAGGACCCAAGTTCGATCCCTGGCACAAAAAAAAAAGAATTTAAGCACTATAAGAGATTAACAATAGCTAATAGTCAAGTAGAACAATTACAACAATGTACTGTCAGAAAATTACTAGCATGATTCCTCAGGTTTGGGGGCCATCAGGGTTTCTTGAACACAGCACTGTACTAACACAAAAGTCCATTGAAGACAAAGAGGGCTAAGTGCCTGATGAGCAGAAAGATACAGAGCTTGGAGACACTGGATGAAAGGATGATTCATCAATTTCCACCTTGTATCCTTGAAAATTGTTTGACCGCAGGTAACAGAAAGTGCAGAAAGCAAAACCATGGAAAAAGGAAAACTATTGCACTTTCATAACTGATGAACTACTGAATGTTTTTACAGAAAAGTATTACTGCAGAAAGTTTAGTGCTTTTAATATTTTAAGAAAATGGCTAGGGATTTAGCTCATTGGTTCCACCACTTGCCTCGCAAGCACAAGGACCTGAGTTCAATCCCGGGTACCAAAAAAAAAAAAAATTTTAAGAAAATATCTCTTTTTCTGTAGATCCAACATTTAGTTTAATGTTTGATGGCAGCTTTGAAGAAATCAATTTCAGTACTCCTTCACTGGTAAGTTTTGAATTTTGATAAATTACATATCACAATTAATGTAAAATGTGTTTTTATTGAATGTAGTTCCGATATTTTAAAGGATGTGCTAAAATTTGAGTTTTAGGGCTGGGGATTTAGCTCAGTGGTTCCACTGCCTGCCTCGCAAGTCCAAGGATCTGAGTTCGACCCACAGTACCAAAAAAAAAAAAAAGTTAAAATTTGAATTTTAGGAACTTCTGATTATTTTTTATTTCACTTTAATAAAGTTCTTTCAGATATTTAAATTCTTTCTAGATGCCAGTGTTCATTTGTTGTTATCTTAGTAACAGTATTTTATTAAAACAAAATTTAAATACAGTTAAAACTTGCATTTATCATACTCTTCTACTTAATGAAGATTAACTTTTTTTTTTGTACCAGGGATTGAACTCGGGTCCTCACACTTGCACAGCAGGTGGGGAAACCACTGAGCTAAATCCCCGGCCCAAGATTAACATTTGTAAAAGCCCAGTGTAATCATCAACCAGATCAAACTATACGACATTTCTGAAAAGTTCCTGTGGGCACATGTAGGCAGCCTCTTCAGAAGTAACTATATTCCTTTTTGTTGTTATTGTTCTTTTTTTGTTTTTGGTACTAGAGATTGAACTTGGGACCTTGCACTTGTGAGGCAGGCAGTGGAACCACTGAGCTAAATCCCCGGCCTGTTTGTTTGTTTTTTATTTATTTATTTATCTTTTTTTCAGGGGGCGGGGTACTGAGAATCCAACTGAGGACCTTGCACTTGCCAGAGGAGTGGTGCCACTGAGCTACATCCCTGATCCCTGTTTTTTTAAAAATTAATTAAGTTTATGGGTACATTTTAAATATAATATAATGATCACATTCATCATAGGGAATGTGTACCCATGCATGATATATCTGGCTTTTTTTCCCATTTCCCTCCCCTCTCTTCAACCCCACTTCCCCTCCTTATTTACAAAAAAGCTTTGTTTCCCTTTCTTCTTTCCTCATTTTTTTCTGTTCCCCCCTTTCCTTTCCCCTACCCCCTCCTTAGAGTCCCTTCCCATTTGAACATTTTATTCCTATTTCACAATATCTTTTGGTCCTTATTTACACTTTTGGTTTCTCACACCTGAAAAACAATGTGATATTTAAACCTGTGTGTCTGATTTATTTCACTTAAGCGTATGGTCTCAAGGTGCATCCATTTACCTAGAAATGTCTCAAATTTATTCTTCTTTATGGTTGAGAAGTACTCCATCATATAAAAAAACCCACATCAAGGGCCAGGGATTTGCTCAGTGGTTCTGCTGCCTGCCTCACAAGCACAAGGTCTCGACTTTGATCCCTGGTACCAAAAAACCCACACAAAACAAAAAAAACCCACATCAGCCAGTCGTGGTGGTGTGTGCCTGTAATCCCAGCACTCAGGAGGCTGAGGCAGGAGGATCACCTTCAGTTCAAGGCCAGCCTGGGCTACATACTGAGTTCAGGGCCAGCCTGAACTACAGTGAGACCCTGTCTCAAAAAACCAATCAATCAATCAATCAATCAATAAAAAAAATCAAAAAACCCCCAAACAACCCACATCTTCTTTATCCATTCATCGGTTGATGGGCATTTGGGCTGTTTCCAAGATTTAGCTATTACAAACTATGGTGCTATAATAGGTGTGCATATATTGTTGTGGTATGACACTTAATTCTTTCATAAAGATATCAAGGAGGGCCAGGGATTTAGCTGTGGTTTTGCTGCCTACTGTGCAAGCGCAAGGACCCAAGTTCGATCCCCAGTACTCCCCCCAATAAAAATACAACAACAACAAAAAAGATATCAAGAAGGGGAATACCTGGATCAAATGGAACCACTAGTTTCAGTTTTTTGAGAAATCTCTACACTGAGAAAAGGCTTCCTTTTTCCCCACAGGCCCGCCAGCGTTTGTTATTTGTTATGGCTTGATAATAGCCATTCTTTCTGGAGTGAGATGTAATCTCAGCATTGTTAGTTCAGGCTGCCTTTGAAGTCACTATGTTGCCCAGGCTGGCCTCAAACTCACAGCAATTCTCCTGCCTCAGCTTGCCAAGTGCTGGGATTACAGGTGTGTGTACCACCATGCCCAGCGTTGTTCCTTTTTTTAAAATACAATGATGAACAATACTGGGAATTGAACCCAGGGCCTTGTGCAGGTTGTGCAAGTGGGCTACCACTAAGCTGTATCCCTAGCCCAATTTTTTTAACATTTAAATTTGTTTTTTAATTTTTAAATTGACTGATTCTTTTTGGTGTGAAATTTTATGAATTTTAATACATGAATAGATTTATGAAACTCAGTATAATTAGGATATAGTACAATTTATCACCCCTTGAAACTGCTGCATG